TGCTCTAACGATCATAAAAATATCCCTCACACAATCGTTATATCTCTGGTAAATGATGTCCAGACAAATGGGTGGAAGGTATATGGTAAAACAAAACAATATCAACATTACATATAGTTCCATAGTATGATGTACGTTGTGGTAATATTCAATATTTTTAAATAAATTCTCTTGGTGAAATGGTGTGCATGCTCATAAAGTCGCCATTACTGCTGTTTCTTCGTCACAGATCCGAGAATTTAATATGTTATCAGATTTTCAATATCTTGTCATACTTCTCATAGTCACAAGTGGGGAAAACGGCTTATTCATACATGAACTATATATATGTGCCACTTCATACATCAACTCATATAATTCGGCTAAAATATACATTGACAAGTTAACAAGTGTTGACTCAGCTGCCACGTCCCCGAATCATCAATAATCAGCTGATATGGCAGCTGAATCATGAGCCACATCATCAAAATATTTTTAGTCATAAAAATAAAATAAAAATTGCATATATTTTAAAATAGTAAAAAAGTAGAATTTACAATATTGCTTTTTATATGTAATTATGTTTTCTTGATTTAAATAAAACTTGATTTTCCAAAAGTATTATATGTGCATCGACTTCATAATACTAGATATAAATGTACGAGAAAAATATGCTAAAGTCACTCGAAAAATCGGGGATATGCTTTTCGAGGATTTTCATCTTTCGAATTCTATGAGATTCAACAAAGGGTTGAAATAGAATGTAAATTTGACTTTTGTAAAAGATATTTTCTCAATATCAAGCTAGTGATAAGACATGACATGTACATTTTTTCACTTTTAGCATTATGGTTCTCTTTCAATTCTTTCCACACGATATAAAAAATTAATCTTGGTTGAAAAATAACGAGAATACTAAAAATGATATTGTTTTTAACTACTATTATATGCATCAAAAAAAAAAATGATATGGGTTTTACATGCGCGAAAATTCTGATGGCGTTATCATATGATTAAATATAAAATAAATTAATTATAATTTCTAACTTTTTATGATTAAAACTATTTTTAAACTTAAATGTGATTTTTATTTTCTTATAACTAAAAATATTTTGATGACGTGGATGATTATTTAGCTGCCATGTCAGCTGATTATTAATGACTTTGTGACATGGCAGCTGACTCAAGTTACATGACTCAACGTTTTAGCCAAATATATAAGTTGATGTATGAATTGGCACATGTATATATTTCATATATGTTTTGTAACCATAGCCGATAGTTTATGTATGAATAAACTGTTTTCCCGCCAGAAGTGTGATCAATGAGTTGCAAAAATTCTTTTGACATCCGATGTCTCTTAAGATCCCTTTACTTTTAAGATCCTCTTTCTTATTCGTTTATTTATATTTCTTCATTGGCTGACGTGTCTACATATACTTTGGCAAACAAATCACTATTGTCTCTGAATAGTTGGAGTTAACTTGAAGTAAATGAAAGTCGTTTGTTCGGTTTCAACATCCACTATATATTAGAGGAGAAATATTGGAAACCAGTTTTTTTATTGTGTCATTCTCACAATTTTTCGTTAACATTTTTCTTTTTTATTTATTAAATTTTTTTATATTCATTACCAAACACATTTAATTCCAAATGACTTGTTCTGATTTACTCTAATCTTAACTGTAAACACATTAGAATATTTGTAAACTTTCCTAAAACAGTTATTTAAAGATATTAAATGCTATCATAAAAATTAAACAAAAAGTATATATATTTCGACAAAGAAAAATATAATTTTAAAATCTTGATTTAATGTTAGGACCAAATAATTACATCTGAATTTATATTCCAAAATCTATGTTATTACTCTTATAATTACCATAAACATATAAGATTCAATTTATATTTAAAATCTTCTATTTTGTATATTTGAGTTATAAACCGTATTTTTGAAGATTACGATATTAAATAAATATATTTTAT